TCAGTTTTGGGCAGTTTTTCGTGTTCACAATCCACCAGAACAGAGTGAATCGCAGGATTGAAGCGATCGACGTCACTGGTGAATATTGTCAGAGTTTAAAGCGTTCAAAAAAACATGCATAATACATGAAAACAGTTTGGGAAATTATAAAAAAAAATCATGCAAGTCTTGGAGCTCATAAAAGAGTATTACATAAACAGTTTGGGCAGAATATTTTTTTTTCTTTTTCTTTTACATTTCAAAATAGCTGTAAAAACTAAGGGAATCCCCTAAAATGAATTAAAAATATTGGCAGACTATAAGGTTAAAAAGACAGTATTATACAGTATATGTGAATTACATTAACAGCAATGAAGACATTACATGGACTAAACAAACTCTAAGAAAACAATGCATATTATAACGTTAAAATCTGCCTACAACATGTCAATACAGTATGACCAGATTCTGTCCTGCTCGAGTCAAATGATGAATGAATAACAAAAATAGTGTGAAAAAAAGAGCCTTTTTGTCAGTATTTACAAATGCACAGTTTGTTACTGTTGCTGTATCTCCCAAAAAAACATTGAAAACAATTTTTTTTTTTGCTGGTCAGAGTTCACATTCACACTGATGCAATTCGAATGCACTATTACAAAATAAAATAAGAAATAAAACACTAAAAAAAATAAAAATGAATAGAATAAAATAAAAAGAAAAAAGCTGAGCAGCTGCGGTGTTATACTTTACAGAATTTGATACAAACAAAATTGGGTAAAACCCTCCAAATCTCATTACTTTCATACAAACAAGTATAAAGTATTTATACAATCATGGTAAGATTTGTTGTTAAAAATGATTGTATCACAATAATTACAATTTAATGAGAATTACAAAACCACCCTTCCATAAGCATGAAATGGATGTGCATTTGGAGGCTTCATGTTTCGTCATTATTCATTCATGCATGTTTGTTGGTAATAGTTCTGGGATAGATCTGTGGAGTTAATAACTGTGGTAATGTGAGGTAGTGTGAAAACCTGCTCATCATGAGAGCTTCTGACCTGCAGACAAACACCATCAGCATTCCTGCAGTATCCCACGATGCAATGTGCTCAACCCACGTCCACACGTCAAGACATTTGAACACAAAACAGAATTTAAAAATACAATTTTAAAAAATTCGTTTCCAAGAAGAATATTTGGATGCTATGGAAGCCTGTTTCCACCACAAAATAAAAATAATAATAAAGTAATATCATAAAAAAAAGGTCATTGTGACTGACTTTTCAAAAGAATCTAACAAAACTGACTTTTTTCTCAGAATTAGATATAATCTCAATTCTGCCTGACTTTCAATTTCGAGTTTATCTCACAATTCTGTTTCTTTTTTCCCATCACATAATGAAAAAATAAAAAGGTAACTGCATTTTTTTATTTCACAATTCAGACTTTTTTTCTCAGAATTGCACATTTGCCTTGTTTACAGCTTGCAACTCAGACTTTATATCTCGCGATTTTTTCTCAGAAATATAAATGATATCTGAAGGATTTTTCTCAATTGCGAGTGTATACTGCAAGTTATACACTCATAATTGCAGATTTTCGTATCACAATTCAGACTTTATATTTCGCAATTTTAATTGTTTTTCTCAAAATTAAGACTTTTCCTCTCTCAATTATGACATTTTCTCAAAGTTCTGACATTTATCTCAGAACTATTAATTTTATCTTGAAATTCTGAGTTTTTAATAATTTTTCTTAAAAATTCTGACTTTTTTCTCAATTTCAACTTTTTCTCAAAATTTTGACTTTTCTCAGCTTTTATCTTGCAATCCTGACTATCTCGCAATTTCAACTTTTTTTTCTCAGAATTATGAAATATATTTTGCAATTCTAAGTTTTTATTTTTCAATTTGGACTTTTTTCTCAAGATTCAGTTTTTTCTCAATGAATTATATCTTGCCATTTTTATTTTTTACTTGTAATTTTGACTTTATATCTTGCAGTTTTGAGTTTATATCTCACAATTTTTACTTTTTCTCAAAATTCTGACTTTTTTTTCAGAATTACAAATGATATCTTGAGTTTTTTTTCTCACAAGTGTATATTGCAAGTTATTAACTCACAATTTCAAGTTTGCATCTCACAATTCTGACACAAATCTCACAAATTGTTGTTGTTGCTACAGGAAAAAAGTTAAAAAAGGTCATGCTTTTTAACATTTTTTTTTAATCTCACACTTCTGACATTTTTCTCTTCATTGCGAGTTCATTTCTCACAATTTGGACATTTTTCTCAGAATTGCAAGAAAGAAGTCAGAATTATGAGACAAAAAGTAACTTTTTTATCCCGCGTCAGAAACAAGCTTCCATCAGATGCCACTTGCTGAAACAAACATGCAAAATCTCGTTGCGTAATGTGTTCTGTTCACATACTATTTCCAGCACATATTGCACATGAACAAATCCAAACATTCAAAGACAACCAGCCGAATTTAGTTCAGAAGGATCCTTCGATTATTTCTCTTCAAAATAATATCATTAAAAAAAATAAAAACTGGGAATGTTTTAAAATTTTAAGAGGATGCAAAACATGTTTATAATGCAAGTGCATGTTATTTTTCATAAAAAAGCATAACATGTAACGTCAAATAATCATGCACTTAAATTAGATTCATGTTTATGATGTTTTAAGGCAAATCTCATCTGGGTACGAACAGAATATGATTTGCATTTACATTAACATTTAGTCATTTTGCAGACACTTTTATCCAAAGCGACTTACAATTGGGGAATACATAAAGCGATTTGCATTTCCGTTGTGCATTTCCAATAGTGCAACGTTTGAGATTCACAAAGGGCTGAGAGGAAAGCGTGAGCGTGAAGGAGGGATGGATGCGCACAGACTGCGGGTTAGTGAGTTAGGGCTGGTTAGTGGTTGGTTGGTTGGCAGTGTTAACCCTCCTTACGAGTAGGAGTTGAGGCACTCTTTGGAGCGCGACTGGATGTCCTGCAGCTCCCGCTCCTCCTTCATTTTGATGTCTTGGTACGCATGCAAGTGACTGGCGTCCTTTAGGTAGGCCCAGTTTGCAGAAAGGATCATTAGGTAATGGATCTGTAAGAGAGGGCGAGGTGATGCCCGTCAGCAGGTTAACAGAGCCACAGAGCCACAGCTCAACTACTGTACGACACACACACACACACACACACACACTCACTCGCTCACTCACTCACTCACTCACTCATTCACTCACTCACACACTCACACACACACACACACACACACACTCACACACTCGCACTCACACACACTCACACACTCGCACTCACACACACTCGCACTCACACACACACACACACACACACTCTCTCACACTCTCTCTCACACACACACACTCG